ATGTTGGCTATTAGTACAAGGGGAAATGTGTTGATTTATCTCCCTCAAGGGAACAAGTTTAGGATGCATAAAGGAATCCCCCAAGAACTTAACAGGAGGGTCAATCTCATGTATAAATAACTTCAACTCCTTTTCTGTGTTGTGAAAGATAGTAGCTAGATTTCTGTTTGGCAAAGCTGTCCTCACTCAGTCCCTTCCCAAAAACTTTATTAAAACACGAATAGATAGTAATATATGGGGTGAATTGTCAACATTTCAGTACCATTATACTTTTACTGGGAAAAATCAACAAGTTATGGATATTCATGAATTGATTCAGTCCACATTTTTAAGTGAATTCATTTTAGTCCAACTTGCCAGACTCAGACACATTATCAGAATGTGGGTATCTTCCATGTTTTGTGCTTCTTCAAAATTTGTGGTATAGTCCTTGGCTCAACAATGCACCAAAATAGGTATGCATACCAAAATGTTATTTTAGGATAAAGTGTGTACAGCGATGCATTTTTTTCTGAAATAGTGGATGAAATCCTCTTGGTGGAGCTGCAATGCACATCTCTGGATAATGTCATCAGCTCAAGCCACGTTGCAGCCTTTGGGGGGCAATTAGAAACTTCCTAGTCCACCCAGCCCTGGTTCTGAGGATCTCTAGGGATCCCTTTCATCCTGGGGAAGGCTTTGTTGCCATGGAACAGAGCAGGGAATTATTTAAAACTCCTACCCCATTCTACATTCTACAGCCCCGGAAGGTTTCAGCGTGAAGTGGATCCCTAGGGATCCCCAGAACCTGTTGTGGGGAGGGAAGAGGAAGTTTTTAATGCTTCAAAATACCGTGGGGTCTCTTCTTAAGAACTTAATCCGTATTGGAAGGTGGTTCTCAAGTTGAAAAGTTCTTATGTTGAATCTGCATTTCCCATAGGAATGCACTGAAAACCATTTAATCCGTATCTGCTCTTTTCCGTCCATAGAAACTACAGTAGCTATGGTATGGTTGTGGTTGACGACATCATCCAATTCACATGGCATAACTTGCACAACAGGGTTACTGCCAACATGTTCAAAATAGTCTGCATTTTCATGCATTTTTTTTAAATTGGAAAGATGGAGAATATGAAGCAGAAAGGACTTCAGAATGAACAGTACAAGCAATGTAGTACAAACAAAATAACAAACCCTGGTCATCTTATGCAGTGAAAATAATTACATGAGGATTGGGACTAAGGTCTACACTGGATTTTAAATGTCACTGAGATTCCATGGTTCATGGTACCATTAAATGGAAATCTAAGTGATTTGTGCATGTGGAAACTTAACAATGTTTGGTGCAGCTATGCAACAAGTTAGAAAGAGAATCAGGGAAGGGCAGAAGCTGGTGGTGGAACACAAGGGAAGGTTCATGTCATGGTATACCAGAGGCTATATTCCCCCATCCCATCCCCACAGTCTCCATGGGGGGAGTAACACAAATCTAGCTCCATTCATCTGTTACGAAAAGTGTTAAATACACAGTGGGTCATTTCCCCCCATTCTCTGTTAGCAAATACAGTTGGCACTGTCTGCTAGTTCAGTGAGACAGTTATTAGGTGTGCATATACAGTACGGACTTGTAAGCTGTCCACAACTTCAAGCATAAAAAACGACATCCAGTCAAATATTCTACAAAAAAACCCAATAAGCAAGTGTATTATGGTTAGCTGTTCCTGAAAAAAACAACCAAGTACTTTAGTGAATCATAAAAGGGCAAAAAAAATCTTACAATTTTAATTACATCTAGTAGGCGGACACATCAAACCTTGGGCAATTCATCACTGAAGTGGTTCCAAAGATGTTATTCATCTGTTTGCTGTTTACAAGTATGAAGGCACAGTTAACAAAATACCCTTCTTTTATTACTGTATAAACTAGGGATGTGGGAGAAATTTGTTAGGTTGGTTTGCATTAAATGAAACTGAAAACCAAACAGGCCATTCCCAATTTGTACATGAACTGGAATGTAATTATCCTTCAGTTTTCATGCTTCTTTTTGTGGTGCAATTCTCTCATTTTAAACAAATATATAAAATACATACATTAGGAGAAATTGTACATAAAAAGCATACATTAGGAAAACTGCACGCAGAATATGCATTTTTCATACAAAAATGCACACCCTGATACAGAAATCCAATGGAACAGATGTGTGTCTGAGAAAGTTCCAAAACTCTGGAAAACCAACTAGATTTGTCTCTCCCTGGTACAATCACACAAAAATGTCCTGTGTTCACTTTACTAAGGCAGGGAGAACAAACATACTTGACTGTTTGATATCAAAAATTCCCCGCATAAGCAGATAGTGAGAAATGTTCCAAAACTTCAGTTCTGCCAACTCTACCTCACCCCCAACATTGGTATCAGCTGTAAGCACATAAGGAACAAACATGGTTTGTAAGATGATCTTTCAAACCTACATCCCATCAGAGACACTTTCTCTCCTAATGATCTATCATACTCTACATATAATTACATCTTTGATGGCTCAACTGAAAAATTACTGGAGTCACATCTCCTTCAATGTAGTCAGGCATTTCTTTATGGGTTCATCATAATTTCTAACATATGGCAGTTGCAATCTGACATATATCTTCCAATCCATGGGTGGGTAATTCATTCAGTACCGAAGACCTCATTGAAAATGCATCATGAGCCAGAAGGTGCAAGCTTATTTCAGTAATTTATGCACCTATAATTCCCTTTGCATAAAAGCTTCTTGGCTATGGCGCTTCCTAACTTAGGAATCATTCTACCACTGTGATGCACTTTGTAATTTTGTGGTGTATTTCTATTTTATATTTACCGATCACCACATAACTAGTGAGATGCTTGCCAAATGGTAGGAATATGTACTTCTTTCCACCTCCCCACAATAGCTCTACTTGGCCAGCCAGGTGAGAAAACCAGTGCCTGCCTTCATTTTCTGCCCCTGCTCTTTGTCTGCTTTGCTTCGTGATCTTTTGTTTCTTCCCCACTGCCCAACTCCCATCACAATAACTACAGCTTCTCCTGCTCCTTTCCTTCAGATATAGAACATTACACAGAAATCATCAAATCATACATATTATCATATATTATCTTTCTCTATAAAGTCAGCATATAAAGTAACTCTACGTGGGGGCGTAGAGTGAGGTGACACATCATTTCTTAAAGTCCTGCCAGCTCATGCCAGCCAAAGTAATATATGTATGCATATACTTCTTTCTTCATCTTACCAGTTTTTTAAAATGCAGTTTGCCTCATAACAACAGGAGGGGAATGTCCTGAAGAAATGGACCTGATGTGGAGATCTTACAGTGGAAAAGAGGAGCTTTGGACCTAAAGAATCCCAGGCACCCTCAACTCCACCTTGGCTATGCACCATTTAGGGCCTACCACCAGGGGAAATATTGCCAGCACTAGATTTACAGCTGCACAGCTTGCTGAGAGTTTAACTAGATGTCGTGGAGCAGAGGTATGCCTTCAATAGAGCTCAACTCCACTGCAGGGGTGTGTGTCTGTCTCATTGTAAGTCTCTCTGGCCATTAGTTCCATGGTATAGGATCATCCGTCAACTGCAGATAGGCTTCCATTTCTGAACATGTTCTTATCAATATATGGTATTTCTATACTGACCATCAACAAAGTCCTTTAGAAAAGCTGAGACACAAAATTACTTCCAATAATGATTTTATATGACTAGGATTGGAGTCCCCTTTGAAAGCAGCAGCTTTTACAAATCTAAGGAAATGACCCCTTTGAATTGCTGCCTGACTAGCAATTAAAAGATCAAAACCAGATGACCATACCTGTGTGTGTAGATGCAACTTTTACTCCACTTCAATGTTCCAACATCCCAAATTTACCAGGTAAAGCTCTCTGATGCTGCAATGCTAGCTAAGCATTATGTGTTAGCGCATAGAACCATAAGAACAAAAGGTGGTTTAAGAGACCTTAACCTAGTTCATAAGAACATCGTATTTCAGTTCCAGGGCTGCCTGATCCCAAGATAACCTCCTTTTCCCCATCCACACCATAAAATGCTATTGTGTAGCGGTGAGTATCTATTATACACAGTTGTGGCAGTCCAGTACCGTATGAACTGCCACAGTTCCATCTGATGGAAACCATGGCTCTCTGATTTGGTGAAATACAATTTCCTGCTACAGAGCTCTTGTGTATCCCTTTGAACTACAGCAGAGACTTACTGAACTACAGATCCCAGGATTCCACCAGGTAGTCATCATATTTAATTATAGTATCAAAATGCTACAACACTACTAGTTACTTTATTCTGAGCAAATGTCTCACTAAACACTTGTCTTCTCACCATCTTCTGTGGGAAACACAAGAGATGCTTTTCCAACATCTTTTCATTTGCAGTGGTGCCTCGCATAACGAGTGCACCGTTTAACGACGAATCCGCATAGCGATCTATTTTTTGGGATCGCTAATGCGATCGCACTGCGATGTTCTGAATGGTCAAACTTTGCATTGTGATGTTTTTAGAACAGCTCATCGGCGGTTCCAAAATGGCTGCCGGAAGCATTTTCAGGCGCTGCCCTTGCTTACCGAGATGGCGAAGATGGTGGCACTATGGAGGATCTTCGCTGAACGGTGAGTCTGGGCCCCATAGGAACGCATTAAACGAAGTTTAGCGACAATTCCGGATAGCGACGATTAATCCGGAACAGATTAATGTCGCTATGTGGGGCACCACTGTATACACGTCAATCTTCCAGTTCTTCACTACAGCAAACAAACCAAGAGGTAGACAGAGGAAATAAACAGATGATGTACTGTTGATTTTCAGGGAGTAAAAGGAAAACTTTGCCTCTTATTTTGATGCACTTGAGGATGAGCCACACCACCAAACTCGCCCTAGGGAAGTCAATTTTTTCAAAATCAAGTTAGAGAGCAAATGGGCCCTAGGAAAGTCTATTTTTTTTCAAAATCAAGTTAGAGAGCAAATGAAGAAATAGAATACTCACTATTTGTATGTTTCTGAACGGATATATTCAAACACATGAGAAATGCCCAGTTGGAACTGATCCGCAATGGGAGTGACCCAGGGGTTATTCTCTGCTTTGAACACTTGCTTCTGACCAGTCAAATCCAAGTTACCTGAAATAGTTTTTTTAAAAAAATCCAGTTGCTCATTGACAAAATCAAGGTGTTTCATCTTTTAAAGACGTAAGTACATATCTTTGATAAATCCTATATGCCGAACAATGCTTCCTAGAGCATATGTAATTTTGTCCACCTGGAGTTCGTGGATGAACAAATAAAGAGTCCAAATAGTTCTTCTTCTCCAAAGCCCAAGATACTCAAACATGCAATCAACCCACGTAGGGATCTTCCCCTGCCACGTGTAGGATTTACATGGCATTTCCCAGCTAATTTTTCTTTCCTCCTCTCCAGAAATAATCATATTTTATGGCTGCCACATCTCGTGAGACTAAAGAAATTCCACCACCTTGGGAGCAGGCCTGGCATGCCTAATAATCCATGCACTAGGTAGGGATATCTCTCTGTGTTTATGGCAGCTCATGGATCAAATAAAGAAGGGCACATCTCACCACACGAGTATTGCCTCCCTCTTCCAGTCACAACCTGCCTATGGGCTTGACAATGGAGGGATATCCTTAGTTTCTTTGTTCTCCCCCACCGTGGAGGCTAGTTTCCCAAAGCCCTGACCATCCTCACCAGTGTCATGGAACATACTACTCTTTATCTGGTGGTCTGTCTTGACTAGATCTCCATGAAGGTAATCCGGCTTCTGCACTATCACAAAACATCCCTTGCCCAATCAACACTTTTTATAGACTTATGCATTGCTCCTTCTTCTCTCCTTCCTTCAGCCCCATGGATGGTTTGCTACAGGCCCACAAAGCTTATGTGGCTCATAACATCACCTTCAAATCCGAAGGTCCTTGTATGAGCTTTGAATTGCACAGTTTTATTACCTTGTATGTGTCATTAGAGTAGCAAAGTAGAGGCCATAACCAACTTTTTAAAAAGTTGGTTTTAACCTATTAAGTGGCTTAGAGCCAAACTATCTAAAAGACCATATCTCCCTTTATGAACCTGCCCAAGTACTACAGTGTTTCTCTGAAAATAAGACAGGATCTTAGAGTATTAGTGTTTCTCTGAAAATAAGACAGGACTTATATTAATTTTTGCTCCAAAAATGCACTAGGGCTTATTTTCAGGGGATGCTTTATTTTTTCATGTACAACCATCTACATTTATTCAAATACAGTCATGCCATCTTCTTCTAGTTGCTGCACAGTGGTGGAGGGTGGGGTTTCATTTAACTAGGACTTATTTTTGGGGTGGGGCTTATATTACGAGCATCCTGAAAAATCATACTAGGGCTTGTTTTCAGGTTAGGTCTGATTTTCAGGGAAACAGGGTAAGAGAATCAGGAGAGGCCTTTCTCTCCATCCCACCACCATCATAGACATGCTTGGTGGGGCCTCAGGAGAGGTCCTTCTCTGTCACTCTTCCCAGACCCTGGAACTCCCTCCCACAGGAGGCCAGGCAAGTTCTGTTGTCCTGCAAGCAGACAAAGACCTTTCTTTTCAGGCAAGTTTTCCTTTAAAGGGCTGTCTGACCAGAGGGATTTTGAAAGGGATCATTTTATTCTGTGTTTTACTAGTGTTTTAATACTGTTCTTATTATGGATTTTAATACGATATTTTGCTTAATGCTTTTTAAATATTGTAATAATTATTATTTGGCTTTTAACTTTGCTTCTTTTAAGCTGCCTTGGATCCTTCAGGAGAAAGACAGCGCGCGCGCGCACACACACAAGTAAATAATAAATAAGTGCAATAGCATAACTTGGAACAGCAAATACCCACTAATTAACTAGCCCCTGACTGAATTCCCAGTCACATGTCAAATACTAGTTGGGAGGGAACAGACACACCCTAGCATAGATAACACAGGTGCAGTGATAAAAAGCTCTCATCCAATCTATTTCACAAAAGAGTTGACCCAAGAACTGAACTTTTGTGTGTAAAGGACTGTAACCTAGGTGGGCCAGAAAGAACAGGAATGCAAAAAGTACGAACAGTCAAAATTGTCTCAATAGTGGCCATAAACAAACAGTACAGTAGCTAGGTCGTTACAATGGTAACATGATTAGGTCAGAAGCCAGGCAATATCCTATTGTTTTTCAGTGCATATGCACAGCTGACATTTTCTTGAGCAGTGCAGGAACTGTATTCGCGAAGGCTTTCACGGTCGGGATCTAATGGCTGTTGTGGGTTTTTCGGGCTCTTTGGCTGTGCAGGAGTTATTGAATTCTACGAATGTGTGTCTCACCACAAAATGGGTAAGAGACACACAGATTGCTTACCTGTAACTGTGGTACTTTGAGCGGTCCTCTGTGAATTCACACCTATGGGTTTCTTCTACACCTGTACGGACATTGTCAAAACATTCCAGGGCTTAAAACGCCTCTTCGACCATACTCTAAGAGGCGGGGAACATGCACTATGGAGGGGTGTGTGGTTTAATGGAATTTTTAGGCTCTGGAATGTTCCACAGGTGTCTGTGTAAGCATGGAAGGAAGCCACTGGTGTGAAACACACAGACCATAAAGAGAAGGATCTCTTCAAAGATATTACATGAATACCTTTCACTACTGCAATCAACCAATTAAAAGAAAACACTATCAAAAGTTAGAGACTTTTTACATGCCATTCTTCATCAATCTCCCTAAACACCCCTCCTTTGTTGTCAATTTAAATGTGAGGAGGCGATCCCAGGTTCTATGAAACACAAGAGGTTTCAGGTAAATGGTGGAAATAATTCTGAGAGCCGTGTGGGTCAGCCTCACTTCCCATGCCATTTATACAGGTGCATGTGCAGCAGCCACACAGGACTAGGCTGCTTCAGAGAACGTGCCTTTTAAAGATGCCAAGCTCCAGCAATGTCGTTCCACGTGGCTTGCATTAGCATCAGTTTGTATATTCCATGCTCTCTGCAGCAGCTTGTTAAGGAAAAGGGAGTTAGCATAATTAGAGAAAAGCTAGATCATTACACTTGTGCAAAAAAATAAAAATAAAAATAAAGGGGGGGGAGGAAGGAGAGGAAAAAAGGAGATGGATGCTTATCCTAGGAGCAAGCTGCCATTAGCCCGGTTGCGCTCTTCCGTCAGCTGCCTGGAGGTTGGTTCTTTGCTTAAATAATAACATGCAGGCAGCGTTTCAGTCCTCTGTCAGTCAGGCACCAATTGCCCTAAATGCCTTACGCTTGAGTGCGTCTCGTTTGGAGGCTCACACCCACTCCCTCCTTTATTAGAGGCCTCAGCAGTGCTCCTCTTCTAACAAGGATCAGGCGGGAGGATTAAGCATTGTGACAAAGAGGATCTAATAAGCGAGAGGCCAGGGGTATCTAAATCTATGCTGGCTAGTTCAGCAAGAGATTCACACTGTTCTGTGTGCAGTTTTCCAGGCAGAGGCCACTGGGGAAACAAGCCAGCGCTGTGATTAGCAGTAACCCTCCTGACCAATGCTACTATGAACATCATATTTCACTCGGAAGCTTATTCTGCAATTGCAGATTGGATTTTCCATTTTATTACCTGCAAAAAGAACCACAGACACTTGTCTCTAAAGCTACCGACACACTAAGTACTCACTTAGACTTGTAATTCGGAATGCACAGCCATCAGGAGAAGGAAGAAGATTAGTCTGCTGAAACTCATCCAAATAACAAAATTCAGCAAGACGTATGGCATTCATCTTTGCAGTGTGCATCCCTAAAGTGTAGGCATTCATATCCCAAAACCTCACCTCAGACAGTGCAGAGAACACTTTAACCCTGCATTAGCAGAATAGTTTACTGTATTCACTAAATTACACACAGACCTAGCTATGGCATTCTCAATGTTCAAGCACAGTATTTTCAATGTTGTTTCCAAATACTGTAAAAATCATATAAACAGGATAAGCCTGAAGTGAAAATTCATGTATCAGAGACCAGGGTGTATTGCTTTTAGGGGAAACGCATTAAGCAGAATGAGACAGTCAGAAAGGGAGAGGGAGTAAGGAAGGTTATTTCAATCTTCTACTCTAAGAGCACGAAAATATCTGAGGTTAATTCCTCAGAAGAAATGGAAGGTCGGGAAGTATTTCATGAAATACAGTATGTAGTTTTTCAAAACCTCATAGAACAGAGCCTAAAACATTATCGTGAAGTTAACAGAGGGCTTGGAAGACACCAAAGATAATAATGCAGACATCTTACATCTCCCATTAGCCTGCTGGCAATGATGTAGCCGCTCATCTTTGCTGCCCTGGCAAAACATAAGAGCCAAAATCCAACTGGAGAAAAACTATGGGCATAAGAGCAATCATGCAGCAATTCCCACCACCTCCCTCTGTTACAGGCTTCCTTTTACACAACCAGTTATGCACCCTATTTTGCAACTAGTGCAAAATCAGGCATGTGAAGAAGAGCTTGCTGAGCCAGGGGCAGGAATGATCACACAAACTGCCTGTACCTGATCACGTAAGCGAACAGGATTCTGGCCAGGCATAACTGTGACGACTGGAAATTCATGCTACGGGAAAAGGTTACAAGCATGCCCACTAGTGCATGCCCTTCAAATATGAGTTGAGAGTGAAAACTGCTATTTATTCTTGTGGCAAATATTAAGGGAACCCTTGCTGGAATGAGGGCAAAGAGAGGGGAAAATAGCTGATCTCAAGGAGAACCGACTTAGGACTTGATCGCGACACGGTAACGTGGGAGCTAACCAGGGCTATCTCTGAGGGCTGCAGAATTGCTCAGCTAACCCCATAGCAGTTAATCCTGCACAATTCAGTACTTTTTTGAGTAGATGCTTTAATCAAATGCTGAGTAAGTGAAGATCTTCATTAACCACCTAGACATCTCTAAAGCCTTTGGGCAGGAACTGACGAGAATGGGTAAGGTTTGGAAGTGAGAGAGGTTCTGAAAATGGTTGTTGTGGGTTTTTCGGGCTCTTTGACCGTCTTCTGAAGGTTGTCCTTCCTAACGTTTCGCCAGTCTCTGTGGCCGGGATCTTCAGAGGACAGCACAGAGTTCTGACTCCTGTCCTCTGAAGATGCCGGCCACAGAGATTGGCG